GATTTAATACCCTCTTAAAGCTAGTTAGGTTAAATTTTGTGAATTCAGAGAGAGATTAGACAACTTATCGTAAAACAAACTTGCTTTGCATTTTAAAATAATCCAATAGGCCTTTCGTCTACACTTGTCCTGCAACCAAAAAATGAAAACACCCAGTAAGATCTTGCTGTTCTATAAAACATTTAAAAAGAAGAAACAGATAAATATATATCATAAACGCACGAATATGCAACACTACAAGTAAAACGGAGTTTAGTTGTAAGGTAAGGGAAATAGTACCAATACATTGCTCATACCAATACCCAACTCATTAAAGTTAGTGTTATCTTATCATTGAGAAACCGGCTCTACATACTTATAATGTTTTGACATTTCTGTAGGTCTTGCGCCCTCCAAGACAATTAGTCGTTTAAGTATAACACTTATAAATATGTTGTACTCCGTCTTATGTGCCATTAAAGAGTTGTCCAAAGTAAGACATCAAATGATATGGACAGCCCAGAGGAGTAACACTCATGGCCTTGTCAATGCCGTCTCTTGCCATGAGAACTCACATTCACATCAACAATACATAAATGTATACATACTGTTATATACTAAACTATGTATTTACTCGTAGTTATGTATATGTAAGACAGCGACTAGCATGTTGCCCGAGGCGTCGCATTTACATGGAGCACCTTCAGCTCAGCTAGACAATAAAAATCGCGCATAGGTATTTGGTTCAAAACTCAGTCTTCGCAAGCAATACGAAACAATTGCAATTGTTGGCTGTTTGCTGCAATTGTCTCACATGAGAATTTGGCTAAGAAATGAATTGACTGTATGACTGTATTGTTGGGAGTCTGTGAAAATGCCAACCGCACCCCACAGTATGGCACAAAACCACACTCTGGGTCTGCGCAATTCTTGTTCGATACGTCGGCTAATGTTTGTAATGGTTGCCGGCAATTTGGCGTTTTGCTTTAAATTGGTATAAGATTTCAATTTATTTATAACAGCATTTATTTATTAATTTCATATGATTTGCTAACGCTAATGTTTCCACTGTGAAGCTTTGGTTTTGGTGTTAACAGCTCGAAAAGGCATTTTGAAAGTTCACTCAGCAAGTGGCTGTTTAATTAACTTAATTAAATTGTTAAATGCTCAACTCAATACATACTCGTACATGCATGCATATGTGAGTAAGTATTTGGTTTACTTTTACTTTCGACAGCTTGTTATTTGCTTACTGTTTTCGCCAGTTGGCGGGCAATTACTGTGCTGCCCTGACCTTGACTTTAACCGTTTGCTAACGTTATCGTTTTTATTATTAATGTTTGTGTTGTTGTTCTTAATGATACTGAACGTTATTGAACACGTTTGGCTTTGCTTTGTACTCTGCTTGCAAGATAATTTTTGAGTTTGAAAACTTGAGCACTTTATGCTTAATTAACTTCATTTTGAATGCTTCGGATAACAGGCAGAGTGTGATGCGGATTATGGCTGACTTAAGTGAGGAATTCGTTATAGGTATTGAAGTATTCATATTTGATGTAAAATGTTTTATAATTGCAGCTTTTAGTAAGCAAGCATATGCGTTTTTTAATGCGGTTGAGGTCAATAAAAGTTTCTTCTCTAGCCACTAAGTATGACATGATAACAACTCATATCAGGTTTCCATTCAGGTAGTATTGTTCAAAATTGACATTTTTGTATTATTTCTATTCTATTTTTATTTCTACTGTGTAATGCGGATTAAGGTTGGCTTAACTAAGGAATTCGTTATAGGTATTATAGTATGCATATTTGGTGTAAAATTTTGTTTCATAATTGCAGCTCTTAAAAGGCAAACATATGCGTTTTTTAATGCGCTTGAGCCCAACACAAGAGTTTCTTCTCCACTACATCTTCTCCACTCTTCAGCCACTAACTTAATAAGACATGATCATAATGCATATCAGGCTTTATTTGATGTAGTATTGTCGAAAATTGACAATTTTGTATTATTTCTATTTCTATGCATATTTGGTGTAAAATTTTGTTTCATAATTGCAGCTTTTTATGGGCAGGCATATGCGTTTTTTAATGCGGTTGAGGTCAACACAAGAGTTTCTTCTTCAGCCACTAACTTAGTAAGACATGATAAAAATGCATATCAGGCTTGAGGTAGTATTGTGATGAATGGAAAATTGTTTATATTTCCATTATAATTTTATTTATATTCTGTGTATTATTTTCTTTAACACCTCAAAAATGAGATGAATAATGTATAGTTATTATTTTATTTATAGGCTTTTAATATGTATTTTCCAATAATTAAAACAAGAAATATTGTTGGCATCCCTTTTTAGAATATGCTAAAAAATTGCTGAAGATTGCTTTAAACTTGATAACCAGATGTTTGATATCTTTGGTAATTTTCTTAATTAATACAAAAACTAATGGTAGGTTCAAAACTGCATGTACGGTACAGCTCCTTACCTATCTTAACCAGCCCATGTACGAGTATTTCTGACGAAGATAAGACCTGCAGTTTTCATAGGTTTTAGCAGTTTTAAAAGCATTTTAATATTCATATATGGGAAACGTTAACATCGTTCAGGGTTTTTATATGCTTGTCCATAAATTTAGAAAATAACAAGATGAATAGAAAATATGCGAACACGATTTACTGAATTTCACCCTCCACAATTTACTTTATGTAGCTTATTTAGTTTTTATATATCACATTATATCTTCGGCATCTGTAAAGCCGTGTAAGTGTTCTGCTGCTTAGATCCGTGGGAAAATCCAAGTCAATCAACTACCTGCGCTTTACATATTGACATGTTATAGTCATAATTCTCCGAAGCTATAGCAGCAACGATCAAATCCGACTCAAACAGCAATTTGTCGCTGCTTGTCGATCTAACGAGCCATATAAAAAGCGAACAGATCATGTTTAATTACAACAGAATTTGCATTCTAATAAACTAACTTCACACACACACACACACAACTATAGCAACAACAACTAAAAGTGGTGCAGAATGCTTGACGGCATGAATCATTTGAAGTTCGTTCCACCAACACCAAAAACAACAACAACAACAACAAAATATACAACAATGGGGCACGTAAAATTTTCAGACTTTAAACCATTTGACGACTTGACTAAAACGAAGCAAATCGAAATAAATCGAAATGTGCTCTTTAACACAATCTGAAGCACAGCCGAAGGTCAGGCGCGGTCAACTACGTCAGCAACTGACAGTTGCCTAAAGGGGGGGGCGCGGCTTGGCGGGGGCGACTGGCCAACTGCTCGGACTGCAGCTGTTGCGCCTGCGCAGTGTTAATATTTTTCCCACAACCGTCGCACATTCGGCGTTGGGGCGTTGATGTTGTTAACTTTGTGCTTGACATTCTGAGTGCGCTGAGAACTGAGAGCCAAGAGGTGTCCCCGCTACCAGCGCCCCTTTTTGCATTCGCGTTTCTCGTTCAGTTTTTTTTTATGACTAACTGTGCAACGTGACACTATGGCATTACGTTGAGATCGAGGCGATTGCCGTGATCGATTTCAATTTTTCATTTTTATATCCTGTAGCCATTTTGTCGGTTCCGCAAACAGTGGCCATAAACATGCACGCCCACCCAGAAACTGGCTCAGGGCTTTGAGCAAATTACAGTTGCAGTTGGCATATTGCAGAAATGTGAGCATATTAGAGCATGTGATCAGGTCTACATGTGTGTTATTACACATATAAACTAACTCCGTGTTAGAACAACTTCATTAAGTTGTTGTACAATTAAGATGTCCAACGAGCGGGCGACAAAATGTTGTAATGTGTCATTAAGCCAATTTTGAATGGACTAATGAAAGCTTTTGATTGACATTAATTGCTCTGGGTGGAGCTCTGATCTAAGTGCAATCAACAAATTATTTATGACTTATCTTGGCTGCTTTTACAGGGCTAATGGAAGAGATCTTGTAGGTTAAGGTTGCGAATTAATAGAAAGCCATCCAATCTGAATCTGAATGTGAGAAAAGAATGTTTAAAATATTTTACTGTACTATTTGTGAATACTTTGTTTCAGTAGTATCAACTAATTTAGTCAGACCTTACTTAGTTAATAATACTTCTGTTCTCTAGCCACGGCTGGGTCTCATTATTTCTGAATTTTATTGCATCAGGCTTGCATTTTGTTTTATCAATTCATAACTCGTAGGCACAAAATTTTTGATAACTAAACTTTATTTATTACTCAGTATTAAAATGAAAAGCGTGAACATTTAAATCGAAGCCGAACTGGCAACTAAATGTGTTAAATAATTCATATATGCTAATTTAATATTTGAAAATATCCTGCTTACAAATTATAAGCAGCTTGCAACCGATTGTGTACTTTACGGTTCGCCGGAGCTTTAATCAAAACTTTAAGCAGCTTCCGTTTAAAGATAAAAGACGGGTTAACTTGGTCGGCTTTTGACCATCACAATAAGTGCGAAAACCAAAAAAAGATAGACGGCTAGAGAATTAGAGGTAAATCCAACTTTTAATAGACTAAGAGCTAAAGTTTAAACCAAAACATTTAAACAATATTTGATAAAATATCTGATTTTGTATTATTCCATTCGTTTCTCAAGATTATTTTATTTCTTTACTTTAATGCATGTAGCTAAATATTATATGTATTTACAAATAAGCCCAAAAGCCGACTTTGTTTTTGAGTTCAATATCTTTGAGTTGTAAACAAGTCTACTTTTAGGACTAAAAATAAAATGCACTTTTTTCTTGTAAGTGATAAGCAAATAAACGAGCATGTTATATCAAAATATTTTTAAAATCAAAAAAAAAAAATTAAAAAAAGTGATTACCGAAATTTTAACTTAAAAAATCCGACTTATTTCCGTTCTTTGCCTCATCCCAGATATAATCAGATAAGTCGCTATATTGTACTAAAAATATGAAAAACAAAATTTGTTTTTGGGGCCGCTTTGGGTCCTTCATCAATACAATAACATTTATTTTGTAACCATATTTTCATAGTTCGTGTTTAATAAATATTAGTAATACGTACACAGCTTAAAGAACTAACAATATTTTCGTGTTTTAAACGCGGTTTCCGTTTTCCAATTAGGCTTCCAACATCGGATGCTCTTTTACATTTTCATTAAATACAACAAGAATAACTCATATAAGTACGTACAGCTAGATTTAACATGTAACATTATTTAGTAATGAAATACTATTAGTATTTGTATGCGTGTGTGTGTGTAAGTAATTCTCTACGTATTTGTATGTCAGACGATTAGAGAGACGCGTTGGATTAGGTCGCTAAGCATATTATAAATTACATATGTATTTATATGTATAGATTAAAGATAGTTTTAAAAATAAACAATACTTTCTTGCACATTTTCAACAATTGTTTGCTATATATTCTCCGTATAATTGTGAATATGTTTAAATATATACTTTGGCGTTTTTTGGGGGTTCGCTGTTTGTGTCTATTTTGGGGGTCTATACCTTTAGTATGGCACAAAGGAGCCGGCATTACGCTTGCGACCCATGTTGCAGATTTTAAAATGGCACGGCGACATATCTATTGATAACAAAAAAAGAGGTTAGCTATATTTTAACTTGTCAATACGCGAAATTGGGACAAATTCATGCAACACTTACACTGTTTACGAACTATTTATCGAAATTGAAATAATGAAATCAAATGTCGTCGTAAAGTGTCAAAAATTAAACATGAAACAAGGCAATAGACAATAAAATGCGAGACATATTAGTCGATCGATCATGCAACATGTAGAGAAAATATAGTGATATTTTATTTAGAAACTTATCAACTTACATTGCACATTCTTTTTGGTGTTATGCTCCTTCATCGGTGAGGACGCTATCTTGGTGCTAGCTAGTTTCTTGGCCGGCATAGCCGTTAGACCATCGCTTCTATCCTCATCCACCATCTCATTGGGAGTGACGGCAGTGTCGCTCAGCTTGCGTAGACGTGACAACAGGCGTGAGTTTAACTGTTCATTGCTCTCCAACGCATTTGCGCTCTCATCATAGTCCACGGTGAGCAAAAGATCTCTCAGGCTGGGCCAATTGTTGGCAAAATAGTTGGGCGGCAGGGCTGCACGTTGTTGTTGCTGCTGCTGTCTCTGTTGTTGGTATTTCTGTGGGTAGTGCAGGATAACACATTAGGATGACGTCATGCTTCTCTGTTTCTTTCTATCACTTACCAATTGCTGGCCATAGTAGGTGTTGTCCTCATTACCAGCGGCGAGCAGCTCATTCAACAACAACAACTGTGCTGTTGAGGCACCTGCAGCTGCTGCCTCGGGGCGTGGCAGGACGTAAGCAGTTGCCTGTCCAGGCGCCCACATCGCAACTGACAGCAACACAATGACAATGCATAGCTGATGATGGCTGATAGAGGCGAGTGTTGACGCCGACGTCGACGACGGCGACAGTGAAGTCGGCGCAAGTGACGACAAAGCTTTGGGTGCCATCAGGTTTGCTATGAAAAAGGAAAACGACGGAATTAAAAATTATGGTCAACTGTTGCGATAACACACATTTTGTATCTCACATTCCTGCCTCTCTCCTATTCCCGCACAGTGGACGAAATTTAAATAAACTAGATTGTTGGAAATCCTAATTAATCTACTTTATTAAATTGGGCACAGAAAAACAAAACAATGTCTATGTATGTGTTTACTTTGAGCTAAAAAATTATATACAATGATATTAAACTTTTTCGAATTTGAATATAAAACGTTTTTAGTCATATCTATATACTATTTTATTTTAAATCTAATTCTTCGCTGTTCGGGTTTTCCACTGCTCTATAATTCTGAACACCGAAAGAAATGTGAAAGCCCAGCAACAGCAACGTGCCGCTTTGTTTGAAGTACACATTGAACCCCAGCCCCTCGCCCGCAATGCCAAACATACATCAATTGCTAAAAATGAAAACAATTAGCAACCGTCGTTGGCACGAGTGGACGTCCAACCCCAACCCCAACAACAGCAACCCCTCGATGCTAAACTGCTTACGCAAATGGTTTCCAGTTACACTTTCAAGCGACACAACAACAAACAATTTGAAAACTTTGGTGAAACAACGTAAAAATAAAACATTTCTAAGAGTAACAAACGCAAAATGTGAGAATGTAAGTTGCTTCGTCGCTTTGTGGGTTTCATCTTCAACTTGAGGTGTCGCAGGACAAACAGTCACGTTGCACTTCAAGATGTTTACACAAAAATAGGGCGCCTCTCATTTAAACTCTGCCGCTTGAATGGCTTAAAATACTCGTACACCGCTATTGCCTTTTGAAGTCACATTGCGAACTTGATATGCCCGGCACGGTTCTAAGTGCGAATGCGTGGGGCAAGATTCGCTCTTAATTACCATTTATGAAATATTAATGCCTAATTATGCTAACCGCAATGCGAAGTACGTCTAAGTTGTGGAAAGGGAATGAGTGGCGGATCAAATATATTGCAGCATTTGTCAAAGTTAAAGAAAGTGATTGCAATTAGTAAACTGACTCCTTTAAGATTTAAGATTTAAGATTTATTGGAGAAAAATCAATTGATATGCATTGCATGGCAAAAGAATTTAGCTATATATAGAATCAACTGATTATATTGCTATGCGTATATTATCCAAAGGCATTTTTTCCTTACTGAAATATGCAAAATATATACAGCCAGAGGATATTTATTTCCACCCCCCTGTTGCAAATGGGAGCACGCATTTTTCGGCTTTCATTTTGGTGAATATTGCATCAATTACTGCCCACATTAGCGTATATGCTTGCAGCGTTCAACTGAATATATTTCCATTACAGCTAAATAGCCTTTTTCTAAGTACGTAAAATATTTACGCCTCAAAATAACTTTTCCCAACCGATTATTTTTCCATTTTTATTGTTTAAGGTGCATAAATTATTGCTCGCATTAAAATGTACTTCTATATATATAACAGACAAAAGGTCTTAAAAAGACATTTGCTCATTCAATGAACATTATTAAATCTGAATTGAACTGCTATAACATTTATTGGCAATGAGATAAAAGATTACCACTTTTTTTATTTCTTTTATAGGCCATAGCTATTGAAAAGTGTGGATTCTGATAAAAAAAAGGTACTGTATAGTTATATAGTTCTACGAAATGGAGAGATCAATATTGGAGGCTAAATTAAAGCAATAAGCTAATAAAGTGGCGGAACACGACTTATGCTTATCATTGACACAATAGAAAGAGAGCACAACAAGATTACAGAAGAGGGTTATCAGATTTTTTAGTAGGCGATGGGTTTAATCGTATTGCATCGTTTATAACTTTTTTTAAAGCATTCTTCTTAGAATCCTCAAATACAAATACATCTTGTACAATCTGTTCAGTTTTTGTTGCTGCCCCGCATGCATTTTTTTTCTTTTTCAGCACTAAAAGCGATAATGTTTTGACAAGTCATTGCATTTTTCATTTCGATTTCGTTTGTCAGCCCCGTCGATCTGAAATTCTGTGTGACTTACATGCTGTGCGTTAGCTCGCCTTGATTTATGGCCTGTTCGTCCGAGACGGAACATTTCGAATTATCGCACAAACGCATATTTTTAATAGGTCTATAAACTGATAACTAGCCTCTGCGGCGACTAATTTTACTTTATGTACTCTATACGTATACAAGTATGTGCATAGATTTATATTTAAGATTCATTTTCAGTACTACACTTTTTTTTAGAATCGAAGTCAAGGTCTAGTGTGCACAAGTTTCATTGAACTCTTTGAGAATTGCAGGCAGGCCTCAGCCTATAATTAACAGGCAAATGAACAAATCACCAACCTAATTCGGGGGTGTTGTCAATATAATATTGCACTTCACTGCCAGCCTGTCCAATTTATTTGACAGCTGTCTAATGGGCTTGTTTGCCGGTTATTAAAAAGTAACCAGGTGTTGCAGCACAATGCGATAAAAGGGGCTATAAATGTATGGAGTATACTCGTATTATCAGCATACCCACCTGTGGTGTACCATTCAAATGATTACGAATATGTATATTAAACAAAGAAATCAAATGGGCTCATCAAGAAATACAAAAATCAAAAATAGTATAGAAAAAATCGCATAGAAAAAGAAAACAGAAACAAATGAAATGTGACCACTAAAAATACAAAAATAAAAAACAACAAATAACATTTCACTTTTTGATGACCCCCGCTCACTAGGGGGTCCATAATGGCCTCAAAAAATCAACAGCATACAATTAAAAAAAAATAACAATAAAAGAATTATCACACAATCAGAGTACAAGGCAAAATTAAACCTAGCGCATACGTACGAGCGTTTTTGATTTTCTGGGCATTTATAATTATTATACGAGTACTATCAATAAAGCGCGTCATCAGCGCGTCATAAAATATCGCACGACTAAAAAAAGTGAGCATTATCAACAACAATAAGTTCACATCAGTGACACGCCCTCTTTTTTAAATCATTTTTTTAAGATTTTGCAATCTTCCTATGTTTTTCTTTGAAACTCATGCCCAGTGTGTTATTTACGAGCAATGGTTCCTAATGGAAAAAAACACTTTGACATTTCCTGCCTTGTCTTAAATCCTTCTATTGCGCATCACTTTTTTAAATTTCTAGACTAACAATTATTCAAATACATTTAACATAAATGCATGATATTAAATTTATACATAATTTGACAGTAGCCTCAATTCATGCGCAGATAAGATGACTACATTTATTTTGAAAAGAGACTCGTTTGCTTCGCATTAAATACAATGGCATTTTTTCCTTACTGAAATATGCAAAATATATACAGCCAGAGGATATTTATTTCCACCCCCCTGTTGCAAATGGGAGCACGCATTTTTCGGCTTTCATTTTGGTGAATATTGCATCAATTACTGCCCACATTAGCGTATATGCTTGCAGCGTTCAACTGAATATATTTCCATTACAGCTAAATAGCCTTTTTCTAAGTACGTAAAATATTTACGCCTCAAAATAACTTTTCCCAACCGATTATTTTTCCATTTTTATTGTTTAAGGTGCATAAATTATTGCTCGCATTAAAATGTACTTCTATATATATAACAGACAAAAGGTCTTAAAAAGACATTTGCTCATTCAATGAACATTATTAAATCTGAATTGAACTGCTATAACATTTATTGGCAATGAGATAAAAGATTACCACTTTTTTTATTTCTTTTATAGGCCATAGCTATTGAAAAGTGTGGATTCTGATAAAAAAAGGTACTGTATAGTTATATAGTTCTACGAAATGGAGAGATCAATATTGGAGGCTAAATTAAAGCAATAAGCTAATAAAGTGGCGGAACACGACTTATGCTTATCATTGACACAATAGAAAGAGAGCACAACAAGATTACAGAAGAGGGTTATCAGATTTTTTAGTAGGCGATGGGTTTAATCGTATTGCATCGTTTATAACTTTTTTTAAAGCATTCTTCTTAGAATCCTCAAATACAAATACATCTTGTACAATCTGTTCAGTTTTTGTTGCTGCCCCGCATGCATTTTTTTTCTTTTTCAGCACTAAAAGCGATAATGTTTTGACAAGTCATTGCATTTTTCATTTCGATTTCGTTTGTCAGCCCCGTCGATCTGAAATTCTGTGTGACTTACATGCTGTGCGTTAGCTCGCCTTGATTTATGGCCTGTTCGTCCGAGACGGAACATTTCGAATTATCGCACAAACGCATATTTTTAATAGGTCTATAAACTGATAACTAGCCTCTGCGGCGACTAATTTTACTTTATGTACTCTATACGTATACAAGTATGTGCATAGATTTATATTTAAGATTCATTTTCAGTACTACACTTTTTTTTAGAATCGAAGTCAAGGTCTAGTGTGCACAAGTTTCATTGAACTCTTTGAGAATTGCAGGCAGGCCTCAGCCTATAATTAACAGGCAAATGAACAAATCACCAACCTAATTCGGGGGTGTTGTCAATATAATATTGCACTTCACTGCCAGCCTGTCCAATTTATTTGACAGCTGTCTAATGGGCTTGTTTGCCGGTTATTAAAAAGTAACCAGGTGTTGCAGCACAATGCGATAAAAGGGGCTATAAATGTATGGAGTATACTCGTATTATCAGCATACCCACCTGTGGTGTACCATTCAAATGATTACGAATATGTATATTAAACAAAGAAATCAAATGGGCTCATCAAGAAATACAAAAATCAAAAATAGTATAGAAAAAATCGCATAGAAAAAGAAAACAGAAACAAATGAAATGTGACCACTAAAAATACAAAAATAAAAAACAACAAATAACATTTCACTTTTTGATGACCCCCGCTCACTAGGGGGTCCATAATGGCCT